TTCTTTGTCCCCAATCAAAAGTCTCATTTAACCCAAAATTCTTGTCCCTTAAAAAGTCATTGGTATTGATCCAGTACCTTTATTTTTTATGATTATTTTTCACCTTTAAACAATCAAAACCCACTATCTTATTTCTTCTTCACTTTAATCAACAAAACCCCCATTTCCATCGTTTTCTTTCAACTTTAAACAACTAACCCCAACTTACCTTCCTAAAACATGTGCAAAAGGCAATGAGACTTTATTTGGGGGCACAACAAATACATAATTGCTTGTGTTGATTAAATCATTAAAAAGGCTATCAATTATGACCCTCGGGTTATTTTCACGGTTGGTCTGTCAAACCTCAAACTTGGGAACAAAATAGATGGATATGTAATTACTCGGTTTTGATGTAGGAATGACCTAGGGTTACTTTGACTTTGCTCTTCGAATTCGTACATCGTTTTGGTATATACTTTGTATACAAGTGAGATTAAGTATGATGAAATTGGGATGATAGCCTTTTCTTTTTATATTCCTCATGGATGCAACTATTATGATGTACTTCACTACTTGGACTTGTTTACAGTGGGTCATAGTGAACTGGTGAACCATTATCTTGATAGCATACTAGCTATTTATGCCATTGAACTGGGTTTTAAGAGTGAAGAGGCTATTCTCTTTCTCTATGATACAAAATGTTTGCATATGTTAGTTGAAAATTTAAATGAGCTGAGAGTAAAGCTGTAAACACTATTTATATTTTACGCCCCTTATTTGGCATTGGTTTACTAATCTTGATACATGATCCTAGTGACTTTGTCTGTACTTTTGTAAGAAAACCTATTCTTTGTTGTTGAATGGAGCATAAAACAGTATATGTTAAGGGAAAGGAGTGGAAAGTGTAGGACCAATGTATAGTGGCTTCCTAAATCCTGATACTTCATAGGATAATAGTTGTAACTTGTAACACAAATTCACCATATACCCATGCGCAAGTAGCAAAGGGAAAGTATTTATTGCAAAGAAAACGATGTTGGCACTTCCAAATTCTAGGAGGGCTTACATAATCAAGATTCAAGAAAAACAAAAAGGCACACCATAGAAGTGCTCTTCCAGATTGGAATTTTATTGTCATTGAAATCTTCTGCAGTCTTAGAATCTCGTGGAAAGATTGATCTATAAATGCAAGACACTATATCTTAAGGATTTGGCAGGGCAAAAGCCTTCATAATTAGACTTCTAATTGTGCCATATACCAAAGCTGCGAAGGGGTGTGAAAGAGAAGAGGGTACTTCCCTTGATTTTGAAACCATAGACTTCCTAATGTCAATTAAGGTTGGAATCCTATACTCATATAGTCATTCATCTCCATGGAAATGCAATCTTTTTTAAAAGTGCAATTTATCAGCTCAAAATTCATCGCCTTCTCCTTTGAAAAGACCCTACAAAATTTGATCGAGTAGGCAACAATCACCTTTGATCAAACTCTTCAACCTGATTGATTGGTGGTTTGCTATTCTAAAATATAATCTTAACATTACTTCCACCATAACCTATCTCATTATCTCCAACAGTCAGAAAACTAGCAAGCAATTTCCAAGGGAATTTAGCTAAACACAGTTTGGTTCTTCGCGATCATAATCACCACAGAGCCACTCCTAACTACCGGAAATTTAAAATTCATAACTCAAAATCAGCAAACTTCCAATCAAATTGTTTTGAATTTTGCACAAATTAATTACCCTTTAAAAACCATAATGTTAAGCTTAATCAACACAGAACAAGAATGATACCAATTTCATCAATAATTACATTAATAAGGCATCGCAATATCTAAATTGAAACTGAAACTCGCAAATTAGGTCAAATAAATCCAGAATTAACAGATTAAACAAAAAAAATAAAAAATCAGCATACAAATCAAGTAATAATCAGAAAAAAGAAACAAAATTTATGCAAAATTACAAGGTATAATTATAAATTAAGCGAATTCCGATTGAAAAGAAAAATGATAAAAAGAATCTAACCAGCGAAACAACGAAAGGAAGAAGATGAATGTCGGCGGAAGATGGCGTCGGTATTTAGGGTGGAAGGGCGACGGAAGGAGAGAGAAAAACAGCGTCGAGAAAATGCAAAAGAAGCGCCGGAATTTCTTACGACAACCGTCGGTGTTTTCTCCGGCGAGTAAATTGCCGGCGATATTGCAAGAGTATTCCCAACCACTGAAGCCATTTTTACAGACCGCTTCTTCTCTCAACTCTACGCCTTCCGCACTGATAAGTCGAGGAACTCTATCCTCTTAAAATCTTAGGGGCATTTTTGTACTTTCATATATTTCTCAAGAAAGAAATTTGCTCTTTGTTTGTTGTGTTGGTATTGAGGTTTGGTTGGGTTGGGTTGGGTTAAGTTCGGATCGGATGAGTCTTTTGGTTGAGCCAAATTTTAACTTAACTACGTAGGATTGTATTTCGGTTCATGTCACTCAAGTTAGTTTTTAAATGGATAAGAAGTTTAACTTTGGGTTTAGTTCAAACTAGACGTGGCTTGAATTTTGGATCAAGATATATTGAGGCCCTGTTATCTTCACCTTAAAAAAATAATATTAAATAAAAATAATTTCAGTTTAGTAAAATAAGTTCAGTTCAGTAAAAATAAATTCAGTTCAGTAAAATTAATTTCAGTTCAGTAAAAATACTTTCAGTTCAGTTCAGTAAAATTCAGTTTTCTTAAAGAAGAATTATAATAGAAAATCAGTAAAAATAATTTCAGTTCAGTAAAAATAATTTTAGTTCAGTAAAATTAAGTTCAATTCAGTAAAAAGAAGTTCAATTTAGTAAAAAAAATTTCAGTTCATTAAAATTAAGGTGAATCAAACAGGGCCTGAATGCATGACTTGAGTTTCAATCAAATTTAAGTTGGGTTAGAATGAGATGCAAAGTCAACTCTAAAAATTGTCATTATGCCCTTGTGATGCAAAAATAGTTGCCTAAATGTTAGCCGTTTGAAATGCCTAGGTATTTTATTGCTCATTATTTCAGCTAGATTAATGTTTAGGAGTTGAACAAGTTAATTTAGAGAATGATCATTGTCCAAGTGAGATTTCCATGTATGCACTACTATGTTCTTTCAAAAAAAAAATGCATGGAAGATTAGTCAATAACTAAGGGCCTGTTCTCTTCCGTTGAAATTCAGTTCAGTTCAGTTCAGCTCAGTTCAGTTCAGCTCTTAATTTACGTCTAATTATATTGCTAATGATATAAAGCCAAATTTCATTCTTTTAAGCTCTTATTACAACGACGACGACAACGACGACGACGACGACGACAACAACAACAACAACAACACGAATAATAAGAATAATAATATTAACAATAATAATAATAATCAATAATAATTGAAATAATAATACTATAATAATAATCAATAAATAATAATAATAATCATCAATAAATAATAATAATAATAATAATAATAATAATAATAATAACAATAATAATAATAATAACAATAATAATAATAATAATAATCAATAATAATAATAATAATAACAACAACAACAACAACAATAATAATAATAATAATCAATAAATAATAATAATAATAATCAATAAATAATAATAATAATAATAATAATAATCAAAATCAAAATTAATAATAATAATAATAATAATAATAATCAATAAATAATAATAATAATAATAATCAAAAATAATAATAATAATAATAATAATAAATAATAATAATAATAATAATAATCAATAAATAATAATAATAATAATAATAATAATAATAATCAAAATTAATAATAATAATAATAATAATATTATTATTAATATGTACATTTGTATATACACATATGTATAGTAATAAATAATCAATAAATAATCAAAGATCACTAATCCGTAGTTAGAAATCACTAATTAATAAGTTCAGTTCAGTTCAGTTCAGTTCGGTTCAGTTCAGCTGAGTTCAGTCAATCGGAACAGGCCCTAAGGTCAATAACCTTCCGGTCCATAGATATGTAACTTTTTTTTTCTTGAAAGAAGATACGTAAGTCTATACGACAAAAATGAAATATGTACTATACATCAACTCATCGAGTACTTCATATACTAGAAAGCGAAGACAATATCTGTTACATTTAAACATAATCAAAAAATAAAAAAAAAAATAAAAAATTGTTGGTGATGTAACTTTTATCAACCAAATGATTTTTTATGGTTAGTTGAAGCATAATTAATCCCATAAATTAATGTTCTTCTTAGTTCTTACAATACTTTTTTTTTTTTTGAACGATAGTTCTTACAATACTTGTACTTGATCTTTCTTTCCAAATTTCTTGTAATATTAACTGTCAATGACTTAAATTATGAGAAAATACACTTTACTCAAATAAAATAAGCTCATTTTCAGTTATATTTTTTAATTTTTTTTTTTTTAAAAAAATTGTTGGTCAGTACGTGTAATTACTAGTTTTGATAAACATTACTATGTATAGAATTGTGAGTAGTAAATTCTTAAAATCTGATAGGGTTTGTTGTTTCATTGTAACAGAAAACTTGTACACGGAGTACAAAAGAGATCTGCAGATTGATTTTGTGTACTCGTAGTAGTACTTTTTAAAAAGATAAAGGAAGAATGATTTAATGCACTTCAATATATGCAATATGTATGCAGTACTCAACATTTAATCTTTTCTTGCTTCTCCTCAGCTTTGGAGTTGTCTGATCATTATTGATGACTTCATTTATTTCAACTAAAGATTTGAAGTGTGTTTGTCTGTTGGTTTGATCTGAACAAGCCATCCAAACATTACGAATTATAGTACGGAGTACTAACATTATAAGGAATTTCAATCTGGCGTGTTTTATTCGTATGCATGCTCTTAATTAGTTATTTTAACACGGAGTATAGTGTTTTATAATTAATTTGTCTGTGTTATGTATGCAGTTATATTCTTAATGCAAGGAATAAAGCTTATTGATATAATACGAGACAATTATAAACCAGGCCAATAACTAAGTAACCAAGGGTAAAATAAAACCAATATGCATAAAATCTAACGAACTAATTACTTTCAATTGAGTTGCAAATTACATGAACATAAAATAAAATGAGACGATTAAAAAGCTAGATTAAAATCATTAGGAAAAAAAAAGGTACATGCATAACCTAAGATTGAAATACAAGTACATCATTCTTACGGAAAATTGTAACTTTCAAAGTATTAGGCGCATTTTTCACAAGCTCGAACACACAAATATCTCCAAGTTGGACGTAATTATCCAGGAAAAATGCCGATAATCCCTTTGATAGCTTACAATTAGAGCCGGACGATGGACGATAGACGGTCATCTTCACCGTCCATGTTTTCCTCGGCGGCGGCCCTTGTAGCTTGATTTCTCGCACATCACCTCCCTCCATATGGGCATTCACCCACTGCACTGGTATATTCTACAAAACATTTTAAAAAAAGTAATATATTTATTCTGCGTATATCCTCTATCATATTTAAAGTAAAGTAAAATAAAATATAGACGTACATACCACCAAGTTGTGGGTGAGGTAGCTAGTAGTGATTTTGACCATGAAAGAAGGAATATCGGAGTGAGCACTCCGATAAGCCTGGGCCACCCTAACTAATTCCTCGTCGGGGTCATACGAAGGTGGTCGACCAGCCCCCGGTCTCCTAGTCTGTTTGCCTCTTTTGTACATGAGTTCGATCTCGGCAGGTGCTTCTCCTTCTTGGACCGTCTCCTTAAGGCAACCGTGTGTACCGTAGAGTTTGACACTAAAGTTGGAGTTGCCTAGGTATGTAAATACCATAAACTCTCCAACTTTTAGGTCATTTTCTTTCACGAACTCTTTCCAACCCATTCTGAAGTAGAATTCTTCTTCTTCTTCTTCTAAACCTACTTTCCATTCTTGGTTTGTTCCTGGCCTGAAGATTGTGGCCTTTCTTTTTACAGCCGTTTGGAGGTGGGTCTTGAAATCGGAACAAATGTGCTGGTCATGTAAGAGAGGGAAAATAATTAGTTTGGCAGGTGATGAGAATCGATCCCAAAATCTACGAGAGGGAATTAAAGCTCTAACCACTTGAGTTATTCTTCACTCTTAAAATAATTAATAGTAACATACTCGTACTTGATAGAAAGTGTACATAACTAAATGAAGAAAATGATCGGGATTAATTACCAATTGGTTTGAGCAATCCTTTGGGAGAAACACTTTGAAGAATTTAGGGCATTCGTCGTCAAAATGTGTTGATGAACTGGCCATTTTTCACTTGATCTGTCGAAAAAAAGTACTATAGATAAAATGGACCTTTATCATTCTAACTTTGATTCTATATTTGAAATTAGTTTAAGTAATAAACTTATACATGATTTAAAATCTAAATTAATTACTCGTATATATTTATAAGACATTTATCAACCTAGCCGACCTTTTTTTGATAGATTTAGAGAACTAGAGTTATTTGGACAACACTTAATTTTGTAAGACAGACAATTAAAAAAGAGTTCAGTGACGTACAACAACTAAATAATTAATATGTAATTCAATCCATTAATCAACAAGGGCAACAACTACAAATTAACTTGTAGTCTAATAAACTTGTATTGCAAAAATCAGGGGGTAATTTTACCTATGAAATTGGGGCAACTTTGTATTTTTGGAACCCCGCCTATAGCACTTGAGAATGCCGCCACAAATGAAAGTCTTCTCCTTAGGGGGTTGGTATGGCCCTAATTTACACTATTTTAAACTCTAGAAGGGTGTCTTTTAGTTGAGGACGAAGAGGAAGGCTTTTGTGGGTTTGATCGCCATAAGGAAGAGAGATGGTGGTGGTTGTGATGGGTTTCGGGTGGTGGTGGATGTGATGGTGGTGCTGCCGGTGGGAGTACTGGAGAAGATGGTATAGAAAAGTGAAATTATATGATGGAATGAAGTAGCTTAGCATGTAGGTTATATAGTAGGAGTAATTAAGTTGCACTGTTGCATTGCATGCGATTGACGTACATATGTAAAACAGTAAAACCCTTTTTTATGTAGTGTTTATTCAATGAAACTAAGCTTGCATTGTTTTCGAATTTTCATTGGAGAAATTCAATTTAAAGCTCATCTCATGATGTACCAAGTATATGTAAACTACTTCTAGGAATTAATTTTGTATTTTTTTATTTGAAGACATGTCATAGGTAGTTGGCTTATTATTAATTTCATTTCAATGGAACACTTTATTTCAATTTCATAGTATAGCGAAATGGATGTTTTGCCTAATGGTTAAGGTCTTTAATCAGAAGACAAAATCCTTTATTACCAATATATAAGTACACAATACTATATTCGTTATTTTTGTTTATTTGTACAACAATTATAGAAGCAAACCGGACAGATAGCTCTATTAATAATCGTATTAAAACTCGGATTTAAGTTACTTAGACTTGTAATTTTTAAACTAGTCCAAAACATTAGCTATGTTACTCAGCTCTGACTCTTTCGTTTACCTCGCGTGTCCGTGACAACACGACACCACCACTTGGGGCCTGTTCTCTTCCGTTGAAATTCAGTTCAGTTCAGTTCAGTTAAGTTCAGTTCAGTTCAACTCTTAATTTACGTCTAATGATATTGCTAATGATATAAAGCCAAATTTCATTCTTTTAAGCTCTTATTACAACGACGACAACGACAACAACAACAACAACAACAACAACAACAATAATCAATAATAATAATAATAATAATAATAATAATAATAATCAATAAATAATAATAATAATAACAATAAAAATTAAAATAATAATACTAATAATAATAATCAATAAATAATAATAATAATAATAATAATAATAACAATAATAATAATAATAATAATAATCAATAAATAATATTAATAATAATAATCAATAATTAATAATAATAATATTAATAATTATATTAATAATAATAATATGTACATTTGTATATACACATATGTATAGTAATAAATAATCAATAAATAATCAAAGATCACTAATCCGTAGTTAAAAATCACTAATTAATAAGTTCAGTTCAGCTGAGTTCAGTCAATCGGAACAGACCCTTGGACACTTCATTTTTAACTAAAAACACAATTTTTTTCAAGAAAATGGGCGATCCCGATGCTTGGATACCCATGTCTAATTTGACACTTCATCCGAGTCCAAGTAACATAGAACATTAGATTATACTCCTTATAAGAGAATGAAAATTAACAAATCTGATAAATTTTGAACTGAATGTGGACTAATATAAATCATTCAAGTACGTACTCGTAGTAGATAGGTAAGCATGCTAGGAATTAATTATTTCGTGCTGAGCACTGTATATGATGTCACATATAGTTTAGCTAATTTTTATTTCATGTTAGTTGTAAAATTGATTGTTTTGGTTAAGTGCCAAAAAGCCTTTCTTTTCAAGAATCGATTACAGAAGCTTTTCTCATCTTTTATTTATGCTTCGTATAAGTAGATAGTTCTATTAAGTGGCATAAATACTTGGTCAGTTTGGACAGAATTTGTACTTATTAGACCCTAGGCTCTCTAGCTAGACTTAGGGTGAGTTTATCCCCAGACCCGGACCCATACTTCAGATTCTGCCACATCAGCTTTCCACTAACTTTAAAATCTTTTTCATACAAGACTTTCTCCAAATTTACACATTATCCCAAGACTCACTTCAAACTCATTTAATCCTTTTCAAAATATTTTTATTATTTTGTAAAATATCTTTTTTTATTTTTTAAAAAATTATTGTAAACTTTTGGTTGGTGAGGTGACTAATTTTCATTGGCCTTGCAAAGTCTTGGCATGGGTACATTATAAGTAATTTAGAGCCAATTAACATCTAATAGTTTTTTCTACAAGAAAATTGTACTTTGAAGTATTAATTTAAGGTGCTATTCAAAAAAAAAAAAAAAAAAAAAAGTATGCATTTAAGGTGTAATTTAATACGAAGTAGCTAATTAGCTACTATGCCGGCCAACAAATTGATTCCCAAATACTAAAATTCACTCTAATATGTTTCAGAAATCTCAACTATATATAGGTTATTCCAAAATGAAAATAAATAAAGTTTTTTTGCAATTAACCATAGACGAATAGCTTAACAAATATACAGACCAACAAGGGCAACAACTAATTTGCTAATTTTTATTTGTTTAATTACTCAATATAAATAAATAAGTAGCTAATTGCTTTTAGCTACTAGCCTACTACTCTTATCAATGTTAGCGATTAATTACCCACACCCCCACACCCACACCCACAGTTGAGCTTACGTGGTGTGAACGTAAACGAGCTTAGTTAAATAGTTGAATTGGTTAAAGTTTTGAAGGGTAATATCTGAGATAGGATTAAAATAATCAAATCTTGCCATCATAGCTCATTCATACAAAAAAAAAATTATAAATAATATATAATAATAATAATAATACTAAAAAATGAAAGAAAGAAATACTAGTACTCATATTAAAAAAATAAAAAACACTGTAGACATCAATCCACAATTCCACACCATAATGAACATTAAATAGTCTGAGAGACTTTTTTTTTTTTTTTTTTTCTCTTGAACTCATTCTAGCAATTCTACAAATTATTCCAAAAAAAAAAAAAATAGAAATACAGCAAACCATTTTTACATAAACGACAAACACCATCAACTAGACCTTCTACCTATTCGGCTGTTCCCCTATCAAAAAACTTTCTCTAATAAATTTAGAGTAACATTTATCAACATACAAAACGATATTAAATATCAACATAATAATTAATAATTCCACCAAATTAAAAAATATAGAAATAAAAATCATATAAATAAGAATATTTAACAAAAGTTAGACGGTGCAACAAATTAAAGGGATTAATTAATTAGAGTTTACCAAAGTTTGGAGATCAAATCGAGGCTCAAGTATTATCTTGTAAAAGCAAGCTTTAGGCCACTCACTAACCACATCACCTTCTTCCATGTTGAAGAACTCAAGAGTTAAAATTGCTAAATCAGAAAATAATCTCGCCAAATACACAATTATTCCTATGACGTATCCACTGTCTAATAAGCTCTTAAACTTCTCCTTTTTAAGTGGAGTACTACATAATAAATGGACTATAAATACTCCTAATTTTAAAGATGTCTCTTCGTTTTCTTGCTGTTTTACCTACTTGAATTGATATCCGTAGAATCTCCAATTGCGATGCATTAATAACTAATTAAATCTTTTTCAAAATAATAATAATAATAATTATTATTACTCCCTCCATTTCATAATGTTAGTCTCATATATTATTTTGGGCGTTTCAAAAAGATGTACCCATATTGAATATATTTCATTTATAACTTGATTTTTTTTTGAATTAATTGATTGTGTATTGATGACATGACTCTAAATAAGGAAAATTTTACCTTAAATTATGCAATTATGACTTGTGCTTTCCTAATGAAAAATAAAAAAAGTTCAATAAGGTAAGCTAATTATGAAATTTGTTGTACTTTAATGTTAGATTCCAAATATATTTGTTTTCTTATTTTATGTGATTGATTCCATATGGGAATAACATTATGAAACGGAGGGAGTATTATTAATTAAATCTCGAAAAATAATTTTTAATTCCTTTTTAATTTGATCAAATTTGTTAAACTCCGTAACTTAAACAAATTTATTATAGGTTTCAAAAAAAAAAAAATTACATTGGGTATGCAAAAAAGTAGAAAGTTAATTTTTTTTTTTTTTTTGAGGAAAAGGGAGTTAAAATAATTAAAGTACATGTGAAAGTTTAATTTGCACAAATATTTTTGCAAAGGGGAAAGAATTTTGGTAAAAAAATAATAATATTAATGGTACTTGAAAAAAGCAAATGTGACTAAGGGCATGTTCTCATTGACTGAACTCAGGAACTGAACTGAACTGAATATCTTATAAGAGAAGAAAATTAGGAGCTGAACTGAACTGAGCTGAGCTGAATTGAACCTGAACTGAGCTGAACTGAACTAAACTGAACTGAGCTGAATTGAATTTCAACGTAAGAGAACATGCCCTAACATTTTGGATGGATCGCTAAAAATGGCATAAGTGACTATCAAAAGGGGACAGAGGGAGTATTATAAATAAAAGTATTTTAAATAATATAAATTTTCACATGTGACTAGCCACAACGTGTGGTCGGAGTTACTTATTCAATATAACCTTTAACCGATCGAGTAATCCCTTACCAACCGAATAACCCCTGACTATCCGAGTAACCCCTTACCAACCGATCTGAGTACCCCTGGGCAAGCAACCCTTGATCACCAAGTAGCACCTAAATAACTGCACAATAGTTTCATTTATATTTTTAATTATTTTTGTGGAAACGATAAAATGAAGGAGTCGTACAATTTAATAGAGGTGTCAATTTCAATAGGGGTGACAATTCGGGTCAGCAGGTCGAGTTCAGGCACATTTCGGGTCGATTTCGAGTTATGCTTAGAAACAATAAAAAAAATAGTGTAAAACTTAATATTTTTACGAAATATATAATTTTGTTCAATTCGGGTTGTTTGGGTTCGAGTCGGGTCTGGTTGGGTTCGGGTTTCCCTCAGTAACTTTGGTCGGGTTATCGGGTCGAGTCAGGGATTGCCAGCCCTAAATTTGAGTTTTTTTTTTTGGTGCAAAGTGTCAATTTGAGTATTTTTGTTTTTTGGTGCAAAGTGTCAATTTGAGTGTGCATGTAGATTTCAGTGAGGTTAACTGAAGTCTATTTCAAATATAATTCATAATAAATTATTATGTCTATATAAGTCAATTATAAGAAATCACAATATTTCTATCCAAAATTTCCGATGGTTTAACATAATTTCCGACGGCTCTATTTTTAAGCCTTAGAAGTTAGAATCTTTTGTTGTAATTTTATTAATGTTTAAGGAGAAAAATAATAAAGTTTTGGTAAATAAAAATGCTGGCTGTGGGGTTCGAACCCACGCGCACTTATGTGCAGCAAATCTTAAGTCTGCCCCCTTAACTAAAGGTGTTCGCGGTGCAGTTTGGATCATAAACCGCACCAAATCGCAAAAGTGCGGTTTGTAATTTTTTCAAACCGCACTTTTAAAAAAACCGCACCGCAAAATGTGGTTTGGTGCGGTGCGGTTTGCGGTTTGACCGTATTTTATTAAAATTGTAATTATTCTTTTAAAAACAAAAATTTTATTTTATTTTATAATTATAGTTTATAATTCAAATATTAAACTCTTTTAATTAATCTTCAATTAACTTAAAGATTAGCTCATATAATTTAGTTCTTTTATATAATTTTAATGAAAATATAGTATAAAAATTGTAAACCACATTAAAGTGCGGTTTGGTCTCAATATTTTTTGAAACCGCACCAAACCGCAAACCGCGATTTGGTCATTTTTAAAACCGCACCACAAATTTCAAACCGCAAACCGCACCAAACCACAAAATTGCGGTTTGGTGCGGTTTAAACCGCACTCTGTACAGCCCTACCCTTAACCACTCGGCCAAAATAGAATATTAACCTTAGGATGCTGAGTTCACAATTAGGCAATCACCTAACTTCAAAAAGATGCTAACTAACACATTGTCATAATGTCATATATACATAGTAATTCGTATTTATGTTTGTGCTAGTTCAAAATCAAAATAGATGAAAATGAAATTCCCAAAATAGAGAGCAAACTTGGAACCAAACTAAGCATATGCTTAACCGTCTGTGCTCAAACTTCACATTTGACTGCTGGATTTTCGCGATTTCCCTTAGCATTAGCGACTCGTAATATGCTAACCTTAAATTCTTGTTGGTTGATCAACTCAAAGATACAAGTATCATCAACATTCAACTTGTTATCTAACGCAAAAGTTTTCCATCCCGTTTTCAACCTAGCATGTGTATTGCTAGCAACAATTGTAACCGGCCAAGTTTTCCCACTATTAGTTCGAAGATTAAACCTGTGACTGAAACGTTCTTTCTTGTCCAAGTATCTCATCCTAAATGTTTTCGGTACACCCTGCAGTTAAATTCAATGGCAACTAATTTCACAATTTAACATGTTACATGTAAAAATGGAGACTTTAAAGCTAAAGTAAACTCACCACACAATAGTTGTACCCAATAAAGGACGGTTGCATCTTTGTCACAAATACAGGATGCTTACATTGATGAGCATAGGCGCGAATTCTCTTGTATTCCTCGGGAGTGAGCTTACAATTTCTTTTGTTAGCTATTGTAAGCTTGTCATCCATACTTGTTTGCATACCTTAGGAAAATGTACATAAACAAATTACATCAACTTTATCTTATAAACTCATACAACTAATCACATTTCAAAAAAATAAACTCTAGCTATTAGTACCTTTCACTGAAGAGCAAGGTTTAGTGTTTTCATTAGTTTTCCTCTTCTTAGGAGGGCTTTCCCTACATGCTTTTGTTGTAAGCGGATAATTGCTCTCCTCCTCAGTTTTGAACACTAGATTTTCAGCAATTTTCTCATAAAAAACACGAATTATATGAACTTGGAACAAGTGTTTTTTGATCAACTCAAAGATACATATATCACCCACTTTTAACTTGTTTTCTAATGCAATGTCTTTCCATCCTTTTCTGAACTTTACATGTGTATAATCACCATCAACCAACACTGGCCAAGTTTTGCTAGCATCAATTTGGAGGTTGAATGTGAGATTAAAAGGCCGTTTCTTGTCCAAGTATCTCTTTGCAAACTCTTTCGGTATACCCTAATTAATCAATTCACCAAAATAACCTCAATATAACCATACATTCATCAAATTATCATAGTATTGGAAAACCAAATAATAGTTCACTCACCATACTAAAGTTCTTCACAACAAAGGATGGTTGTATCCTGATTACGAACAAGGGTTGCTTACGTTGCTGAGCATAAGCGCGAACTTTCTTATCTTCCTTAGAAGTGAGACTAGTATCTCTAGCTATTATGAGCTTAGCATCCACATTTGTTCTCATTGCTTTGACTAACATGTATAATGTACACACCCAAAAAAAAATCAAATTTAATATGTTCAAAGGAAATAACAATTAAAAGAGCTAGACATTGCATGTAAATAATAGTAATGTACCTTTCTCTAATGAACTAGATTTATTAGTGATATCAATAATTTTCTTCATCATTGGTGGGATTTCTCTACATGCTTCAGAATGGATCGGGTACTCGATCTCACAAGCGCTCATGTCGAAAATGATTACATCGAAACGAGAATTGCCTTTATATTTGAACATTAAGAAATGACCATGGGACAATGAATAGAATTGTACAAATTCTTGCCAACCATTTTGCAAGAAAGTCTTGCCATTTTCTCTTACCAAGTTGAACTTCCATACTTTACCACATGGAATTTTTAGGTATATGAAATTAGAGAGATCTTTTCCATGAGTTTTCATAAATTCCTTGGGAATTTCCTGAGAAATAGTAGTAAAATTAGAAATAATTAACAATGTTGCATTGTAAATAATTTGAAGCCAATTTACATCTAATAGTTTATTTCCACAAGAAAATTGTACTTTGAAGTATTAATATAAGGTGTAATAGATGATTAGCTACTAGCCTACTATGCCGGACTGTCGGCCAACAGGTTGATTCCCAAATCCTAAAGTTCAATCTAAGACTATCTCCAATAATGAGATTTGGGGTCAATTCTCTTCAGCTTAATTTCAGTTTAGTTTAGTTTAGTTCAGTTCAATTCAACTCCAATCAGTTCAATTTCTAATTTCCTTCTTTCATAAACAATTCATTTCAGCTCTATTCAGTTCAATTCAGCTCCAATCAGTTTAGTTAGCTCAACTCAGTGTATCTGAACAAACCCTTGATGGAGTTTTTTTAGGAGAGAGGGAGTATTTTCTTTTTTACAAAAGATATCAATAAGTTGGTATATAAAACTTAAGTAAAATAAACGGAACTGAATTGGAAGGAAATTAGGAGCTGAACTGAACTGAAATTAAGTTGAAGTGAATATGGCCTAAGTCACAATTTTTTTTAGCGATTTATTACCAACACTCCACGCCCACAAATGAGCTTATATGTGGTTATGTCACTCGTGAATGTTAACGAGCTTAGATAAATAGTTGAATTAGTTTAAATTTTATAGGGTGATGTTCAAGGTATGATCAAAATTATCAAATCTTATGCACATCACTTAGCTTTATAGCTCATTATTCATACCAAAAAAAATTATCAAATCTAACCTACATCACTTAGCTTTATATATAGCTCATTCATACCAAAAAATTATCAAATCTTCTTTCCTACATCACTTAGCTTTATAGCTCATTGATACCCCAAAAAAAAAATGTAGCATCAATCCACACCATAATGAACATTAAATAAACTGAGAGACTTTTGGTTTCTTGAGCCCATTCTAGCAAACCCACAATTCATCATTTCAATAAAAAGAACAGCAAACCATTTTTACATAAACGACAAACACCATGTACTAGCTAGACTTTCTACCTATTCCACTATCAAGAACTTTCTCTAATATAACAATTATCTTCAAATATCAAATGTTAGACGGTGCAACTTAAAATGTGGAAAAGTGCTATTGCATGTACTACCTCCGTTAATTGTTATATGTAACAAAGGGGTATTATTTGTAAGACATAAAATATTCCTTTGTTACACATAATAATTAACGGATGTATTATATATTTGTAAATGTCTAAACGTAACCTTAACCATGTTACCAAAAGATGTTGATAGAAAACAAGAAGAAATGAAAGACAATCAACAAACAAATTAAAGGGATTAATTAAATTAGAGTTTTACCAAAGTTTGTAGATCAAATCGAGGCTCAAGTATTATCTTGTAAAAGCAAGCTTTAGGCCACTCACTAACCCCATCACCTTCTTCCATGTTGACGAACTCAAGAATTGAAATTGCTAAATCAGAAAATAATCTTGCCAAATGACAATTACTCCGTATTAATTAACCAACTACCCACTTTCTTATAAGCTCTTAAATTTCTCCTTAGAGTGGAGTACTGCTTAATAAATGGACTATAAATACTCCTAATATGAAGATATCACTTCGTTTCTTACTGTTTTACCTACTTGATATCCGTACAGTCTCCAATTACGATGCATTAATAAAAATCACAAAAAAAATAATTTTTATTTTGATCACATTTGTTTTACTCCGTGATTAAAATAAATTTAACAACATATAATACGGATTATTAAAAAATTAAATAAAAGTATTTTACTGAAGCACAATAGTTTATTTTTGTGGAAAGGGTAAAACCGTAAAATGAATGAGGCGTACAATTTTATAGAGGTGTCAATTTAAGTGTGTGAGTAGGCTTTGATAAGATTGAGTCGAGTCTATTTTAAATTTGATTCATATTAAATTAAATCATTTTGTGTTTATACACAAGTTCACTACAAGAAATCACGCGATTCCTATGGATTGCTTTGGACGGCCACCTTTCAATGGTTTTACACAATTTCAATGGCTTAAGTCATCGGAAAAGTCGTCTCTAATACTTTTTAATGCTGTCGGAAATATGATGGTTCTAAAGACGGTTGGAAAATACTTAATTTTCGATGAATTAAAGTATAAAAGTCGTAGGAAATTTCCAATTGTTTTAAAAGCAGTAGGAAATTTTCGATGGACAAAAATCGTCAAAAAGGACATAATTTCAATTCATTAATGTTTTGATTTTTGCAGGTTAGGTTGAGTCTATTTTTGAGCCTCTACAATCTTGTGTTGTAATTTTATTACTTTAAAGGAAAAAAATAAAAATGTTTTTGGTAAATAAAAATGCTGGCTGTGGGGTTCGAACCCACGCGCACTTATGTGCAGCAGATCTTAAGTCTGCCCCCTTAACCACTCGGGCAAACCAGCTCGGATGAAACAATTTGCCTGCAGTTTCTAATTATTCTACTTTAAAAATCTGACACAAATTAATACGAAGTACTTAGCCGTTTTTATTATACTGTTTTGCTCTCTAGTTCTTTCCTCAATCCTCATATTTAATTCTCCAGTATTTAAAAATAATTGATCATAAGAAGATTATCATAATCAAATTGTTAAAAGATAACTTACACTAAATCTAACGTAATATGTAATCAACTTTATGAAATTGTATGATCTAGACTTCTAGAGAGTGGTTTAACAATGTAAACTATAGAAATCATCACAAGGTTTGACATTACTACATACTACTATTTGATTACACGTGTGGTGTTATGTTGACTTGTTAATTAAATGTGGTGATGAAAGTCCTTGACATTAGCACTTTTTACATACATGTTTGATTCATAGCATATTGTTGACTTGTCGAGCTATAATAAAATATTTGTTAGCCTAGAAAAGATTTATAATCAATTCCATAAATAATTGGTTATACATTAATTATGGGTGAAGTTGAGTCGTGTTAGTTTTATGTTGGAATTTTCAACACTAATCCGGGTGGTTTAATTAGCCTTGTTATGTCATAATGACCCGTTTAGTAAAAAGATGGTAAACCTAGCTTGACACTTGACACTAAACACTAATTAACCATTTTATTTTCGTGACATGTCTATGAACATGTCAGTTTTTGGCAAATTTATAGAATCCCTTTAATAAAAATCAAACTCTGTTTATATGTTAATTTTTACCTTTCTACAATAATAATTTATTTAATTGCTTTAAGAATTAAAATCAAATTTGATATTATGTATTTATGTGTAGTAGGTTGCAGAAAATTGAGGATGCCTCGATTTCTCATGGTAAAAAAAACAAATTTTGTTTCTCACATGACATTTTCGTAAATAAATCAACAACTTTATTCAATTGTGGAGCCCACAATAATGAAAAAGTTGTTAATTTATTTACGAAAATACTCCCATGAAAAACAAATTTCGTTTCTAATCAAGAGAAACAAAGAATTTCCCCAAGAAAATCAAGGGTTTTTTATTTTCTACCATAAAGAATTGGATAGTTTTTAGGAAAAAAAAAGTACGAGTAATAAACAGTATAAATATCTAAGGTTTTCCACCCTAAAAAAAAATCACAAATCTTAGAAACATGGAAAACCTATCATCGGCCACAAACATTGAAGATCTTGTTGATGAGTTATTGATCGAAATATTTATTCGATGTTGTGAAACTGTAATCACATCAAAAGTTGTATCGAAACGTTGGTTATCTTTACTATCGAACCCTAAATTTGCAATAGAGTTCTATAATCACAAGAAAAATCTCCCTTTTCCGTCGAAGAAACTTCCATGGACGTTTTTGTCAACGCAACTCACCAAAAACATTGAAGGAATGATTCGGACAAATTCCCCGTTTCACAAGGTATTCAACTCTCCGAAATTCTCCCTTATTTTTCTTCCTTTTCAAGTAAAACTTGTTGCGACGTTTAAGGACTTAATCTTATGCACTGATTCGAGTAGTGATGATTATCGACAGTACTACATTTGTAATCCAGTAACAAAGCAATGGGTTGCTCTTCCTTTGATTCCAACTCGGGGGTCGTCAACATCATGGGTTGGTTTAGTGTGTGAGGAACCTTATTACAATGACATTGAAAGACGAATAGATTATAAGTTCAGAGTTATTGTAATTATGCGCTTGAATTTGGAATTTGATCCTTATTACATGAGTTTGAATCTGATTGTTTTTTGTTCGGAGGATTGTAACTGGAAAGATATTGTTCTTAGGGTTAGGCGAACCCCTAACATGTTACACCCTGCTAAACCTTTAATGGGTGTGGTTTGTAAGGGAATGGTTTGTGTTCGTTATTGGGATTCTTTCGGAATGTTTGATCCATTCGATGTAACTCCTAATTCAAGCCGAGTTATTGAGGCCGAGACTCTACCAATGCTTCTTTATCCTAGAGGAAACCTCTTAGAATGTGGGGGGAAATTGATTTCAATCTATCTTGTTAGATTTGTCAAGCGTCATACCCGTGTTTATCATAAGGGCTCTTATGTAGATGTAAAGGGAGATTGTATTATAATGCAGTATAGTGTACTCGATCTCAATGGATTCATCGGGAATAATAGTAATAACGAGGTACGTTGGAAGACGTACAAAAAAGTGAGCTTTAACCAGGTCAAATCACCTTCAACTCGTCAAAGTGAAGCACGTGTTATTTATATTCACCCGACTAATGGTCAGATGATATATGTCTTAACTAATGACAATAAGGTGTATTTATGTAATATAGGAGGGTCAGCTTGTTTGGAAAAATTGGGTGAAATTCTTCCAGGAGTTCAAGGACATCATCAACAGTTCTATTGCTCTAGTAGGCTTGAGCTCCAGTATTGGCCTACGCCAGTTCCTTTGATAAATCCAAATACTTCGTAACTTTTTTATTTTACTACTACTCCGTACTTTGTATGTACATGCTTGTTCATTCAAAAAGAATATTTTCAAAAAATATTTATATATATTTTTCCGCTTCAATGTAGTTGTCACATTACTAGTTCAAATTACATTATCAACATGATTATAAATTCCGGACATAAGATCATATAAACAGCAGCCATTTGCAAAACTATTAAAACAAAGTATTTTGACTAAACTTCCCAATAACCAAAAGCAATATAATGAACAAAATATCTTAGCAGTTAGCTCACGCACCTACATTCCTACATTCTTCTAGTCTGATTCAACTTCGATTATTGCTGGTATGTTTTCGAGTTTTTCTTTAGCATAAGGAGCACGAATTATGTGAATTTTGAACTCTTGTTTCTTGATCAACTCAAAGATGCAAATATCGCCAACTTTCAAGTTGTTACCTAATACAAATTTTCTCCATCCTGCACCCTGCAACTTCATAGTAGTCTTACCATAGTTACCAACTGAGGCACAACTTCTCACCGGCCAAGCTTTCCCGGTATCTGTTTGGAGGTTGAATGTGCCAGGGCAAGGCTCATTGTGCAAGAATTTGTGTGCAAATGTTTTTGGTATACCCTGCTTAATTCATCATAATAAACTTCACTAATTACACGATTTAAGAGCAACTATGATCAGATGTGTAACAGAGAATTTTCAAACTTGTTACTTACCATAGCAAACTTGGAACCTACAAAGGATGGATACATATTCGTAGCAAATGAGGGATGCTTACAGTGATCAGAATAATAATCGCGAACTCTCTTCTTTTCCTCAGGGCCGAAAGCACTATAGCTTCTGTTGTAGGATATTATGAGCTTATCAAATGTAACACTTTGCATACTTTGAGCTGAAAAAGTTTAGAAAGTACATTAAAAAATTATAGCAAGTTTGCAAGTAATTTGTGTTTTAACACCTACTTAGTACTTTTTTTTTTTTTTTTTTTTTTTTTTTTTTTTTTTTATGTTAATGACTTTAGAAGTTGAAAGTACCTGTCTCTGAAGAATTATTAGTTTTCCTGTTTTGTAAAGGGTTGTTTTCCCTACATGGTTCAGGATCAAACGGATACTCGATCTCAGAAGCACTCGTGTCGAAAACAATGACATCGAACTGAGAATTCCCTTTGTATTTGAACATCAAGCAATGTTTATCATTCAATGAGTAGAACTGGACAAATTTTGGCCAACCCTTTTGCAAGAAAGCCTTGTCATTTTCTCTGACCAAGTTAAATTCCCATACTTTACCAGTTGGAATGTTTAAGTATATGACATTTGAGAGATCTTTTCCATGTTTATTCATGAATTTTCTTGGAATTTCCTAAGAAAAAAAATCATTAGATGATATTATGATTTATGAATGAACTGATTTGTTTCTTTTCATTGAACAGCCAGGCTAGGCTACCACATTTTTCATATATAGTCTCTTTTTTCGTCTGACAGGAAAGAATAATAATACAAGTAATTTCATCAATAATCAATAATAAGTTATACGACATCTACATTTAATTAGAGCTACAAAACGTAGTCTTTTCATATATGATTTCTTACAGTTCAACCTGTTTGCATGTCTTCTTAACAGATTAAGACTATAAGAGAGCTACTCAGCTTGATCATTAGTCAACAAGTTGATTTATTATCATTATATCATCATTTTTTCTTTAAATAGAACTTTACTAAATGATCAAATAATTTAGGTAGTACAAATTACACTTTTATTGTATAGGACTAAAGGGTACATTTAACATTTTCCAATCTTTATACTTTGACTAGTAAAATATGCTTTAAAGTTCAAACCAAACCTAACAACTTTAAATTTAATTTAATAGTCACATTGATAGTATAATTCAAAATAATACTCAAAAATTCAAGCACGAAATATGTACAAATATGACAATCCAAACTAGACAAAGAAATTACGAATATATACTCGGTTTGTATTTGACAGAACAACAAATTAAAGCACGAAATATGTACAAATAGACTACAAAATCAAAACAAGCAAAAAGTTGCACTAGATCAAATGTACAGAAGAAACAAAAAAATATACCAGTTTATGGAGATCATGTCGAAGTTCAAGTATGAACTTGAAGAAACAAGCAACATTACACTCAGAATTCTCATCACCTGCCATTATGATTGATGAAGGTTCAGGATTTGACAATTCTTGCCAAAAACAGGTGAAATTGAAATTTCTGAAATCAGAAAATCTCACCATAAATAATAATCTACCACTCCCTAAAAGTGTAGTAGAGGTAGTAAGACTAAGACATAAATGAAGCTTATTTAAGATATGTACAACTACAACCTAACTACCACTTCTCACAGTAATATAAGAGCAGTAATTATCCATGTATGTTCACTTTAGTATAGACTAGTGCCTGTAGCCCTGTAGGAGTATCTGTGCACTTATTTATGGTCAAACTTTTAAGACGTAAACAAAACAATCTCACTAATACTTTCTCAATTCTATTAATATTGCAACAATGGAGTTTTTACACTATTCATCACTCTTGTGTTGACCATATAATATGACTTATACGTTAAGCAAAATATAGTCAATTGAGACCTTGTTGGATTTGTCTCATAAAATATTTTCACAATATCAACTTTTTATAATTTTTACTCTTAAACAATTATAAATATTTAGTATATAAAATGTGTTTTGGGATGCGTAATTTCCTCCTTATTGCAATATTAACATAACGGAGGAAGTATACGTGAAAGAGAAAATATATTCATGTGATATATTGTTAATTTGTCTATACCTTGAAGCCTACCTTGAGGGGTTGATAGAGCGGGCTCATAATAAATCAATCCTTGCAAGACTAGTTAATTTTTGCAGAAATAAGCCAATACAAACACGTTCAAAATTATTACTACTCGTATGTTATACTCCCCTCGTCCCCTTTTGATAATCTCTTATGGACTAATTTTAGTCCCAAAATGTTCACCCATTAGCTTTTTCCAACAACCATTAATCTTAATTTTTATCAAAATTCCCTCCAATTTGCAATAACCAATTTGCAATAATACTTGTGCAAATTTAAATTTATCATGTAAATTCTGTTTTTCCATGTATTTTTATTATCGTCATTCTATACTTTTTTGTATACCCAATGTTAATTTAATTTTTCAATGTACTTTTACTATTCTTATTTGTGTTTATTAATTCCCATAAAAAATGCTCATAAGAGACTATAAAAAAGGTACAGAGCGAATAAAATAATTACAAGTTCAAAATATTTCCCTATCATATATTCCCATAACTTGTACTCTATATTAATTTTTTGTATGTACAAATTAATTGTATTCTTTGACTTTTTTTTTTTAATTACGAATGTTATCATGAAAATATTGTAATATTGTTGTAAAAAATTTTGTATTCAAGTATTTTTATTAAAAAAAATATAAATTTAATGGTTTAAAAATGAACGGGCACAATGGATTATGCCAGCAAAGTCAAAAAAAAAAAAAAAAATAAAATAAAATAAAAAAAAAATAAAATAAAATGGGAAGATTTTTATCAAAATAATTGCTGGCTGTGGGGTTCGAACCCACGCGCACTTATGTGCAGCAGATCTTAAGTCTGCCCCCTTAACCACTGGGGCAAACCAGCTGATTGTTAAGTTTGCTATGTAATTTTATATTATACAAAATTTGATTAAGAGGAGTAATAATTAAATAAAAATAATTAATAAATAGTTGGTGGTTAACGCTTCTCTAGGTGTTTATTCCATTTTACAACTAATGACCAGGTCCTATCATCATTCTATATTCTCTGGTTTTGTGATCTTGGAAATACTTTCTCCATTATTATAGTTCTCTTGTTCGTCACTCCATAGCATATAACATTGATGATTAATATGGGTTAGATACCGTATATATTAAGATTATATATAAGCAAATAATACACTTTCTAAAATATAGGTAAACTAGTTAAAATCCCGTGCAATGCACAGATTTTAATAAATTACATAGTGAATTACAACATTAATATAACAATTATATACTAAAATAATAGAAAAATAATTACTGTAAAATATATACATATAAAAATATTTCGTTTGAGTGCTTATGGAATAATATTATCAGCAAAATGGAAAGTAAATATTATAAGCTATAAATATTTTTCATGAAAAAAGGAAAGATAAAAGTGGAGGGAAAATTTTTAACCAGTGAATGACATGTGTCATCACTGGTTTCGCTTTTAGTATTAAGTTATTGATGATTTATATAGCCTTAAAGGGCTAATGAAGTATAAGCAATTATATGATTAATATGGGTAAATGATACATATATCCCTAGTATTCTCAGATTCAAATGAGAGATGACAAGAGAAAGAGATTTTTACACATGAATAGTTTGGACTTTGGAGCTTTGGACTGATACTCCATATTACTTTGGCGGAGCTTAATTTATACTCCCTATGTTCTATTTTTGCCCTATTAAATAGGTCAAATTTTAAAAAAAATTGACTATAAATTCTCATTAATCAATACAATAAGAGATTATATTATAATCATATGGGGTTTTGTTAGATTCGTTTCATTGTATTTTTATTAATATTAAGTTTTTAAACTTTTTATATGGATGAAGATGAAGTTATATACTTCGTATATTATATAAGACACGTTTTGAAGAAATGAAAATTAAAACGGGACAAAAATATATTTTCTTTTAGAAAAAAGAAAATGCCTAGTCTAACCCAAGCCCAAATCAACCCCCCAAAAGTAAAAAATATCAAATCTACAATAAACAATAACTATTCAACCTACAATCCAATTTTAAAAAGGAAAAATTGAAACTAATAATCCCACCTTTGTCACTTCTACTCAAAACAATCCCACCTTTTCGAATTTCCAAAATAATCCCACCTTTGACCCCCATCTTCTCAAAATGAGCCTTTCACCGGTTTGTGAAATTGGTAACTTATTTTAGAAGGTGACTTGCCACGTGTCACCTTCTGATTGGTACAATTTTAATTTTTGCAATTAAAAAAAACAAAAACAATAAAAAAAAAAACCCCACCCAGCCTGGCCTCGTCGGACCCCACGCAACCACCACCCTAGTCGCCACCAGCCTCGTCGAACATCTAAGCAACCACCACCCTAGTCGCCGCCCCGGTGGCTACCATCTAAGCCACCATTCCCTCTCCCCGAAACCCTCACGCAACCACCAATTCCACCCCAAAAAATCACCGCTAATTCCCCTCTACAATGTAATTGCTTGAAAATCATTGCGAAATTGGGGTTGCGGTTTTGGTTGATGTGTTTTTTTCGATTGAAATAACGATTGTTTAGTAGTTTCGAGGCCGGTGGCTGCGGTTAGGGTGGCTGCAGATGGGGTGGCTGGGGTGGGTGAGTTTCGTGGGTTGAGTGAGTTTCGTGGGTTGGCTGGGTTCCGTGGGTTGGTGGGTTCCGTGGGTTGGCTGGGGTTATTCGTGATGGGTTTTGTGGGTTGGTGGGTTTCGTGGGTTGGCTGGAGTTCATGGTGGATGGGGTTCGTGGGTTGGCTGGAGTTCGTGGGTTGGCTGGAGTTCGTGGGTTGGTGGGGTTCGTGGGTTGGCTGGGGTTCTTGGTGACAGGGGTTTGCGTGGGTTGGCTGGGGTTCGTGGGTTGGTGGGTTTCGTGGTGGCTGGGGTTGGTGGGTTGGCTAAGTTTCGTGGGTTGGCTGGGTTCCGTGGGTTGGCTGGGGTTAGGTGGTGATGTGGTGGTCAAGGGTGGTGGTGGTAATGGTGGATAGCTAAGGTAGAAGATGATAGATTGAAAAAAAAAAAATTAAAAAAAAAAAAAAAGTTAACCTGTTAAATAAGTTGTGGGTTAAAAGGCTCATTTTGAGAAGATAGAGGTCAAAGGTGAGATTATTTTGGGAATTCGAAAAGGTGGGATTGTTTTGAGCAGAATTGTCAAAGGTGGGATTATTAGTTTCCATTTTTCCTTTTAAAAAACAAAATAAAATTGGGTGATTATATGTACATTTACAACTTGAAATACAAATTTGTGTTTCCCAAGAATATAGTGCAAAATAAAAATTCATCAATATACAACCAATGAAAAGCTGTGTCCCACATTAATTATCTATTCTACTTGAAAATTGATTATCCCTCTAATTTACTCAAAACCCATTAACTTTTCCCTTTTCAAAAAATTACAGTATATTCTTTTTCACCAAATAAAACGTTATTATAAAATCCCAAAAAAAACATTCACTTTCATTCTTCTCTTCCTTTTTCACACCCCTCCAAATTCTCCCCAAATCAATTCACACTTTCTTCCTCAAAAACCCCTTTTCAAACAAAATTCAAAACCATTTTCTCCCTTTTACCCAAAGATCTACCCTCAATTTTTCTGGGTTTTCAACAACCAGTAGTTGCAGAATCAGCAGCTTAATCTCAAGCTTTTTCGAGGAGCAACAATGGCGGGTTATGGAGATGCGAGCCAGAAGGTAGACTATGTGTTCAAAGTGGTTCTAATAGGTGATTCAGCAGTTGGTAAGTCTCAGATATTGGCTAGATTTGCAAGAGATGAATTTAGCTTGGATTCAAAAGCAACAATTGGTGTTGAGTTTCAGACTCGAACCCTCGTCATTCAGCATAAGAGTGTTAAAGCCCAGATCTGGGATACTGCTGGCCAAGAACGGTATTTTCCTACTTCCTTTTTCTCTCTCCTCCTATTTTTTTTTTTAATTTGATTTTTAATTTTTTTACTGTTTTTGAAGGGTATTTGATTAATTAATTAGTGGTGTGATTGGTTCAAGGTTGTAGGTGTTAATTTAAATATTAGTGTTGTAATTAGTTCAAGGTTTTAGGAGTTTGATTAATATGTTAATGATGTGATTAGTTGATCTGGCATGGTATTGGCCTTTCGCTTGCTAGTAAGGTGATTTGTTGTTTGTTAATTTGATTAATGCTATTGATAGTGATTTTAAGTAGTTGGATTGGTGTTTTGAAGTGTAGGAGAGAGAATTTGAGATGGTTTTCAGTTCAATTGCTGGGAAATTTGAATTTTGAGTTTGTGTTATTTTAGTCTATTAGAAAATTACTTCTAATTAAATGTTGTTCTGTTACTTCTGTGTTTGGAGTAGATCTAAATGTACGCGATGCGTGTTTTAAATTAGAAATCATGTACAACTATTATTTGAAAAGAGTATGTGTATGTAAGTTTCCGGAAATATAGGTGGATTACAAACTGCAAATGAGTAGCTTATATAATAGAGATTAATTGGGATCGGTTTAAGGCCAAAATGGGCATTAGTGTGTGTCGGCATTGCTTCGACAATCGACATCAATTAAATCATCCACCTACATGATTAGCTTTATTATCTGATCATGTTATGCTAGTAGATGATCGACTGGGTGGCCATTTGTAGAGGGTAGTATAGCTTCTTCTTTCATATGACTTGTGTGATCTTTGATGACTTTCGAGCTTTACATGTCGACAATACCAGGATTTCGTGTTAGATCTTCAATCTAGCAAATCTACCTTGTATTCAACCTTCTAGCAATGCGGACACTCCATGTGAGTTTGTGACCCTCTAGCTAGACATTGATCCATAAACTGCTTTGTGTGAGTTTACAACCATGTAGTTATGCATCGAGTCATGAACCTCACAATGTTCATTACTTAGTAAGTTTGGATCTGTGACGCTCTTGGAACCTCACACAAGGTTCACTAATTAGTGGGTATGGATCTGTGATGCTCTTGGAGTTGGAGTAGGGTGGAGTTATTTCCTTTCTAATCACCAAAATGTCTCCATTGCTTGCTCTGCTGTTCCCACAAGTTAGAAAGGACTGATAATGCCTACTTGATGTCCACATTATCTAGTATTTTTTTTTTTCCTGAATTAGCTATACCTTTTGAACTCGGAATCTAACATAAACAACAATTTCTTTTGCCACTTTGCTAATAAATATTGGGAACAATTTGGCTGAAACTTTTAAGGTATAGTAGGACCGCTATAGAACCACACGGGATTGACCTTATCTGAATGAGCTAGATCTTCCCACATTATTGAAAAGAGTTTTACTCCTTATCATTTATGCCAGGAAAGTATTTTTGTTGCAATTAAAATATGGTATAATTTGATTAATTCCTGCCTGACACAACTTTGAAATGGCTACAGGTACAGAGCTGTTACAAGTGCATATTATAGGGGAGCAGTCGGTGCATTATTAGTTTATGATATTACGAAGCGCCAAACCTTTGAGCACATACCAAGGTGGCTGGAAGAGCTTCGCGGCCATGCTGACAAGAACATAGTCATCATGCTTGTTGGAAACAAAATCGATCTTGAGGAGCAGCGTGCTGTTGCAACTGAAGATGCCAAAGAGTTTGCAGAGAAAGAAGGGCTTTTCTTCCTAGAGACCTCAGCTTTGGAATCAACAAATGTGGAAACAGCTTTTAATACTGTCTTAAACGAGATATTCAGCATTGTAAACAAGAAGACATTGGCTGCCAGTGATGAGCAAACTAACGGCAACCCTGCACCAGCAGCTGGGAAGTCGATCTTAGTTCCCGGTCCTGGTCAAGTAATCCCTGAAAAGAAAGGAATGTGCTGTAGTTCGTGAAGTCGTTTGAAATTTTGGTCGTATGTTGGTCACTCTATCATTATTGGTTTTCTCTTAAACATTGTACTGTATATGAGGATAGAGATTGGAGATGATGAGATTGGGGAGGGGTTTTTGGTTGCTGAATTTGGTTTGTAAAAATCTGTCGGTTAGCTTGTTCGGAAGGAAGTACAGCTAGTTGATCAAATGCGTGATATAGTATGGCGCCCTAAATATTACACATTTTTTTATCCTTGTGTTTAACTATATCAATAGATTTGATTATTTGAAGGTTGGTTAAGTTTGTCATGTTACAATAATTTGGCTTTTCAAAACCGCCCTTAGCTTTTACAAAATGAATTCTTTTTGGGCTCATTCGTTGTCGGTTTTTGTTTCCGATTGTTAGTTTACAAAGTTAACTTGAGTAATAAAAGTATAATTTATCATAGACTTGTACATAAATCTGATTTATGTACAATTTAAAGCATATGATATTCAAAATTTGAAAGAGACAACAATACCTAATGGACCCTTGATAGAAGTATTTTCTCTCCAAAAACAATTGAAGGTTAAGAATTGTTTATAATAGCTAGTTAGCTACATAACTACATTTGAGATTCATACGTGTTCATGAATCATGAGTAATTATTATTTGTCTTATTTTCATTAAAAAAAGAGAAGGAAATATGGCTCCACATTTGATATCTCCATCATAAGACAATCCCCATTCCCCACCGGCACCCAATAAGAAGTAATAATAGCAATTTGAAAAAAATATGCTGTATTTGGTTAAGATTAATTCTTTATTAATAAAATTAAAATGTGCTAATAGGAAAAAAGGTGACTCTAACAAGCAAACTCATTATCATTCTGTAAATGCTTAAACATCAAACAATAATGAGCTGTATTTCCTGAGCTGTATAATCATAGGTTTTACAAATCTTCTGACTGTAAAAATTGAAAAAAAAATACATCCTACTCCTTAATACGGAGTACATAATAGTATAATTACATGTTGCTTCAATTAGTATAGGCTAGTATCTTATTAAGTGCTTCAATACAATTAATACTACCTCCGTTTTTTATTATGTGCAACAAAAGGGTATTATTTATGAGATATAAAATATTCCTTTGTTGCATATAATAATAAGAAACGGAGGTAGTATATACAAGGTGGTAATTGTTTACATACACCCTAAACTAGTTCATGCGACTAAATTTCAATTGGTGTATATTAATTTTTTGAAGACGACCCAAAAATCCAATATAAGATTAAAAATGACATCAGCACTTCACTATTATTTCATCCATTACATTATATACGGAGTAAGATACAAAAATGGTCAAAAGGCATACATTAGCCACAAAAATGCAAAACAAGCCAGTGAATTATGAGCAAAGAAGTACTCAGATTGACAGACTTGATTATTGAACACCGACTGTTAGTCACAGGACCACATGGAGGTGAAGATCTAGCACGCAATTATGCATCTGTCCCTTTCTGGGTTTAGCTTCACAAATCGGGGCCTACGATTCACGCAAACACAGCAGCCATGCACAGCTAGATCCAACACGACAGCAGCCGAGACAATCAACAGGGAATCCATTTCAAGACAGAACCTATCTTCCACCTTATCTCGATTTAGGACTCGTAAGTTTAAAACAGTGAAACCTCTTGCATGTACATGGTATATAAAGATAAGCGGAAAAGACTTTTTGGATTGCAAAACTAAATTGTTTGAATGTAGTACAAGAAGATAGGATACAACATCACAAAAATGTAATTCCTCTCTATTGTTTGAAGGAAAGAAAACGGCAAATGAAGAAAAGAGAATACCGTTAATCTATAACTCTACCATGTTAACAGTTTCTTCATCCTTCATGTCAACGTCATTCTTACTTTCTTCCTTCATGTCAGTGTCATTTGGGTTAGAATCTCCATTCACCCCACCGTTTTGGGGTTCGGCTATCTCAGCATTACCAGTTTCCATGCGCTTCTCAAGTCTTTCAAGCAGATCTTTACAGTCGAGTCCTGTCACCATCACATTTAAGTTGGACCTCCCCCTCCAGCAACCAATTGCTATTGTCGATGATTTGACTTGGATAGGAAATGATGACACCTGGTCAGCTGCAAGGAATAACATGAAAAAAATATGAGTGGTTTTATAAGCAACAGTTGATTTAATTGTCCATGATGAGTAGTATTGACAAACCTTCTTTCAAAACTACAACACAACATCCCAGTTCTAGTTTTGATGCTGCCTCAACCAATTCAGCATCAACCAAAGCATCAAATTTGATGGATTTGTATTGTAAGAGGTGCTTGAAATCAACAATGGGTGCGAGGAGTATTTGCTTGGTTATGTAAGGGAGCAACACGGGCAATCCTTCAGATGATATACGATATCTACATTCTGTGGCGTTTCCATCCTTAGAAGTCTGCCGCTCCTGTAATTCATACCAGACAATACAAAGAAGGCTAAGATTATAAAATTCTAAAAATTAGTAGATGTCTCTCTAAATATCACCGAGGAAATCACGCAGATAATAAATGTCTCTCTTGATTAAATTAGCATAAATAATTGAAATATTAGATAAAATGATAGTGATGATTCTGATGAAGTATATGACTCTCCCACAACCCTTCCCTAGTCAGCCCTTCATACACAGAAGATGAAAATATTGCTTGTATATGAATACATGCACTTTCATATGGCTTACAGCAATTTCAACGAAAGTACAATAAAATCACTCATGATTCAAGGAATAAAACAATTAACTCATGACTTTGAGCAATAATGACAGAACTGTGAGCAAGAAAACAGATACGAGGTACTTACAAACATCTTCAAGCCAACGGAAGCTATCTTGAGTTGCTGCCCAACAAGAAGATTCAATTCCAAAACCTCCTTGACTGATTTGGATATGTAGTAGATTCTTTTCACACTGTCAGTATCATTATTTCTTGTGACAACATGACCATTGAGAGGGAAAGAGTCGTCTATTCCATAAAAAGCTTTGATACTGTTGATTACAGTTTCATCTTTAAATAATATCACAGGGTCAACACCTTTCCATTTGCCTTGTGTTTGTAGCTTCCTCTTTTTCCCGACATTCTTTGGACTAGTTTCTTCTTTATCAAGGTCTTGTTGATCCTCAGCTACTTCCTCTTCCAATTTTGGGCTGGGCACATCGGCCAAAGAACCTGCATCCGTCTCTGCGTTGCCTACAGAAGTTGCTTCACATAGTTTTGCTTCTGAAACATCATTCAAATTGCTTGCTATTTCTCCAGCTCCCTCAGCAGATTCTTCACTTTTATGAAGCAACTGGACATTTTCACCATTTTTCTCTTGAACAACTGCAATAATTTCAAAAGCTTAACATTAACCAATACACAAGTTCTTTGGTCTTCAATTATCATGTAACTAACATTCAACAGCTGCACAGTGGATAGTGAAACTATCTCGCAGCAATGCAGCATTCAGAATGAGAAAGTTAGTCTGATGTCGCGTTACCTGGAAAGGGAGAATGCTTATGAAAGACTGCAATAAAGAAGGCGCCACAATTCTGGTCATGAGGCACAATTCTCATGCAACGTTCCAGAGGAAGACTAGAAATTTCATCATCATTAACTTCAGAGAGTGGTGCAGTGTTTGGCTGCACAATCTCATTTTTATCATCTTCCTTTGCTTCTGCAACTACATGATCACCACTATCCTCAGATGAATCAACTATATTTCTTCCTGATGGAAACATGCTGGAAAGGACACTAGGTCTGCGATATTTGGGAACATCCTTGTATGATGATAGCCAAAGGCCTTTGTCTCGGACCTGTAAGTCAATGCTACCATGTCTTTACTTGAATGCGAAAATCATCACAAAAGATGTGTATTTACTTGCTTACCTTCCATTTCTTAAGACCAGGACGACGAACTAACAGCGGAAGTTCATTAGAGACATCAAGGAGCTCAAGTGAGTCTCCACACCTCCGCAAGATCTGAACAAGAGATATCAAGAAATAGAAGTACAGATGGGTTAATTATACAGCCATTACAGCAAAGAAACCCACATCAAAAGTAAACCAAGAAAATAGCAACCCAATACATAACATAGCTAATCCTTTGGCTTCCAGTGCAAGACACAAAGCCACATGTCCCTTCATACAAAACTACTCAAATATCTATTTCCAATTTTCCATATATAGTTGCTTCTTTATGTTTTCCTTACAGAGAATTTGATTAATCCACACTCCATTGTTATACTAAAGACCCTTGGCTGGAATTTCTCCAGTGCAAGCAAAGAAATTGTTCATACCTCCCCCCGCGACGTCAATCAAAGAGGCAACCCAACCAAAGTTTAAAGTGTTGAGTATTTGAGGAGTGAGATTTACCTCTGCTACCACAGCCTCATTTTCCACTGGATTCATAGAGCAAGTAGAGTAAACCATTCTTCCTCCAACCTTAAGCAGAGATATGCCTGAAAAAATAATAGATAACCACTTCACACAGTCAAAGACCGGCCATCAATAGCAGCGAATGTGTTCATTAATTCATTTATATACAGCCAAGCAAAGGAATTGGCAGGCAAATATTTCTTAGGGTGACACTTGTTATCTACTCAACATGTATATGTATCTACTACATTGTTGACATTCCAAAATACTAAGATGCCAATTTCAAGTACCATCACTTGCATCTATTTCTGTAAAGGCAATCAGGTTCGAAATCTTCAAATAGACCCAACTAATTGAGGGATTGAAAAACCTACCATTCTAAGCCCATTTTAAAATGTGAAACATATACCCAAGGTTAAATAAAATAAATAACGTACACACATCAAATACAAAATTACAACAAACATAATCATTTATAGCCATAACAAAACAAAGTTCTCATAATAATGTACACACATCAAATACAAAATTACAACAAACATAATCATTTATAGCCATAACAAAACAAAGTTCTCATAATAACATCACTATGATAGATATAATGATTTTGGACCCAGGTTTCATGGTCTCACTCAAAATTTACCGGGTTCTGACGTAATCAAGTTCCAGCCAATCAGCCATTCCAGTTCACAAATCTTACATCAAGAACTACTGTTTTTCGGTGTTCACAAGTCAGGTCCATTTTTTTTTCAGTGTACTTGCATCCTTCCATCAAGTTCTATTTGTAAATTTTAACTCGATTAACAGAAAACTACACCGGTTCAAGTACCAGATAGGATTATTTGAGTTGCTAGCATCAGCAACTTCCACCAAAAGCCCTAATCAAAACTGGGCAGTCAGACTGCCAT